ACAGATGTGGAGGGAAGTAGATCCAAAGTATTATTTACTTTCTGTCTCCCTCTCTCGGTCAAATATTTTCAGCACCTGCGTTGCTTCAGAGGTAAAGAACATTTCAGAAAGAAAGCTTTTATTTAAAAAACATATATACAAACAATTGTAACTCAATTTCTTCGAAACATCAGCCATTATCAGAGTCAAGCAGGCAGGTCATTCTCTGAGAAAATTGTGTGGTAGTGGCTTGTTTGTATTTGAAGAAAGCTCAGGGAGTCAGCTTCCAAAATCAACTCCTTTTTTTTTTTTTCTCTTTTTATCTCCAGATCAAAATCAGTGAGGTTTTTTGTCCATAGGCCTACTAAGGAAAGCATTGGTATTTCTTTTGGCAACTTGGTATTATACCTTTGCAGGCCTATGCATTTTTACAGCTTGAATTCATTTGCAAGTGTATACAACAGAAGAACTAAGATTGTTGGCTAAACTCTACTCGAGGACATTCATTTAAATTGGGAGTAACTTCCTTTATGCGTTTTCAGAAGTAGTCCGTTTTCTTTTCAGGAGATTTAGTCTACTCCTTTGTGTTTATTGAAGTGACTGCAGATTTAAATATAAACAGAATTCAACCTAAAACTTTGTTTTTATCTAGTTGCTTAACCACAAACGCATTCAAGATGTAACAGTTTTGCAGAGCAGTTAACGTGCAAAATGGCATCCCCAAAGGACCCTTTGGTTTTCTTGCTGGCCTGAACTGTGGAAAGATATTAGTGATTTTTCATCGACTAATAACAGAAAGTTTTCTTTCTGGATTTCAGAACTGACTCATAAGGCTCCTGGAAGTCTTATTCTGTGGAAATCTAGAAAACCTATGAAAATGGACCCACCAGAAAAAATATTCTTTGGAGCAAATGAGACTGGCATTTAGGTCAGATAGTCTTCATATTTAGTTAATAGTGTAGTGTAAATCTGCTACTGCTCTCTGAGTTAAGAGTGAAAGGATAATCCAGTGTTTTTCTCACTAAATGTGGCATTTTGGAATATGACAGCAGATATCATATTTAGAAAGAAAAAAATAATCTAAAGTTTTCTCCATTCTCTTTCATTCAAACAGCTGCTCAAATCATGTGTGAAAGCCTGAGAAAGGACTAGTTTGCCCAAAAGCTTGGATTTTTTTTCCTGCTCTGTTAGTTCTCTTAATAAAACACCTTACTTTAACTTCGGATTTCATCTGTCTTAGGTTAAACACTCATTTAGAAAGATAGTTCTGCCATGTTAACCTACTCTTGGTTTCAAACTGTGATTCCTGAACTGCCAAGATCCCTCTTTGTTTTTGGTATGGAGCATCTGGCAAAGTACAGCTCCTTCCATGGCCTTTGCAACTCTTGTCCCCAGAAAACCTTCAGTGAAGCAGGCTCTTTACAAGAAAATATTCAACTATTGTGCAAATCAAAAGAGAAGCTGGCATAAACTGATCGTACGACCAAGTTTTGTAAGGACTTACGAATTTACGCAAAGAGAATATTCAGATCCTACCTTAAATGTTTTGGGATTCATTTTGATCTGTTCGTAATTCGGCTTTATTCTCTCCATGGTAATTCATTAATATGAAATCAGCATTTCATAGGTAGATAACTGAATGACTTCGAAAAGGGCGTCTACAGAAGAGTAGCTAGACTAGTCCTGCCAAGTACAGCAGCTTAGAGCTAGTGAAGCTGCCTGCATACTATTAGCCAGTGCTTCACTCTTGTCCACTGTGCCTTTGCCTATGCAAACTCAGCTCCTATAAAGCCCCAGCTCATTTATACATGCTCTTCCTCTACAGTTTTGAATGATGAGTTGTGATGGGAGAGGGCCTTTTTAAGAGTTAGGGGTATTTGATAGATATTTTGCCTCATGTCAGGAGTTAGGGGAGGGCAGTTGGATAACCAAAGATGAGTCCTTATGCAGTGCTCAGCTGAAGCTCTTTAGTCTCTTGATGGCATAACAGAGCCATTGCGGATGGAGACTTGGGATACTTGTGGAAATTCGAGTTCGCCTGACCTGTTTGTCTCCCTCAGCAAGGGAAGCTGAAGCAGGAGAATATTATCTGTAAAGCAGAAAAAAAAAAACCCAACAACCACAACTAAGATCTCTAGTTTGAATTCAGGTGGCTGCCCTTTAAATTGCCTCTTTAACAGTTGTGCTGCTGATTGCTACTATTCATGAAAAGTGGCTTTGTTTTTAGCTCTGAAAGATCCCAGAGCAACTGCTCTGCCCTGAGTTTTCTCTGTGAATTGTTAAAATATTCTCTCTTTTGATATTCTTGCATGACCCTTTCCTCCCACTCACCTCTTTCAACACGTGGTTAGCTACATTCAAAGGAATAGCAAGGAACAAGTTTTCTGTCCCTATTTCATGTGGCCACAGCAGTACTGTGAAATACCTTCCTCAGAATTTGGGAGCAGTTGGCTGATGGGGGAAGGTTAGTTGGCTGAAGGTTAGATAATGTGTTAGAATTACTAGTAGGATGCAAGGAGCAACTCAGAGGTACAGTGATGATTTTATCTGGCTTTTTTTCCCCAATTCATAGCATGCACCTTTGGATACTCAGCTCCTGTTAAACAATCACACAGCAATCAGCTCGGATTCTTTCCATTGCAGGTGACGGAGACTGCCTGATTCAAATGCAAACTACCTTGCCCCGATCTGTGCCTTTGTTGTCTTGAAGCGTGCAGGGGTGCACAGTACACGTGCCTGTGCCCTCTCCTAACTCCGCAGCTCAAAGTGGAGCAGCATTTGACATCCTGTCTCCTGAAAAGAGCTTCCCCCAGGAGCAATGGATAGCACAGGCTGGCATCACTTCTGGGGCCTCCTGCTCGCCCTGCATGGCCAACAAGCAGATGCAGCCATCGTCTCCATTACCCTTGTAGGCTGGTACCTACCATCTGGATCCTGGGCCCCGTTCAGCTGCTGCTAACCTAAGCATGCAGTAGTAGCTCCAACATGGTTCCTGCATAGGCAATACACTGCTAGATTACTTATAAAGCCTTAAATTGTATGGGACTCTCCCTGTATTGTTTTTCAGTGCCTGAGATAGTGAAGATTCTTGTGCCAGGCTTCAGTTGAACACATGACAAAACTCCTCACCCCCTCCCCCCCTTTTTTTTTTTTTTCAAAGCATGCTCCCCGTTTTGTCTGAACCAGCTAAAGTCTGTTGACCTTTAAAGGCACAGCAGCACTTGCCTCTTCATTGAGAGGGACAGAGCTTGATTACAGTCAGGATCCTGGTAGCTTGGACTAATACTTAAGGCTAGATTTCTTTTTCCCTTCCTGATTTTCAAGAGTCTGTTCAGCTTACTGTTATTTGTGTTCCTTGATTGGAGTTTTAATATAGTCCTAGATCAATAGAGATAGGCTTTTAAGTGGATAGTATAAGTCATAAATACTGCATTAACAGTATGGTACCCTGTCCTAGGAAAATATCTGTTTGTTTCATTGACACTTAGTGGTGTTCCTATTTTGGCAGTTGAATCCCACCTATTTAAATCAAATGTGTATTTTGAAACCAATATACCTTTGGGGAGCTTAGTGAAAGTAACATTAGTTGTTCAAGTAGAGCTGACAATATAAGATTATTTGAGCAGTATGTCCTTTGATGATGTGCAGTGTAAGCCATAGCAATATTAAGCTGTACAGTTGGCCACATCATTTGCCTTGAAGGATCATTTCAGATAACAGAAAGCAGAGATTTGATATGCAAGAACTGATTGCTCACACATTTAAGCACTGGTTTTCTTCTCAGTAGAGAAGTCATTTATTGCTAAGACACCAGCAGTTTCTCCTTTCTCAAGGATATGTTGTTGATAATGCCTGTAGAAAGCCCCCTATTTCCAGTCAAATTCTGTGAATAATCAAAATCTGAGAAATGACTTTATTCTGAGCCAGGTTAAAATACAGTGGTAGACATAAAGGCAACCGCCTATGTAATCCTCAGGGTTCATCTATTCCAAACATTTTAAATTCCCTTCTTTTTGCCTGCATTTTCATTTGCATCCTGTCACTTGATTGCCTGTGAGCTGGCAGGTAAACTTACTGCCTGAAATGCTGATAATACTGTTGAAATTACTGATATTTTGATAAACACTCATGCTTTTACGCTCCATGTTTTGCTTTCTGATACCATATTGTGTCACCAGCGCAGAGGTTTCTGCTTAACTGTAAGCTAAGCACTAACTGAAATATGCTCAGAAGATACCTGTTCCATAGTTATTCATGATTGTATTTCTTATATCTTCTTTTAAAGCCTCCCAAGCTACTAGTGTGTTTTCTGAGTAACTGTAATGTTGCTTTAGTAATAAAATTACAGCTGTTCAGAAATTATCCAGGAACTGCACACTCACCAGCATTAGCCTGTGATTGAGCCAGGTGAATAGATTGGGTGTGATCCAAAATGACTACCGTAAGCTGCAGTATCTGGAATATCGCAAGTAATCTGAACTGGAATGGAAGAGGGTTTGCAGCTGTGTGATGGGAAAGATGGGGCAGACAGTTATAATAAGAATCCTGTTCTGCCCAAACTGGCTCTCGGTTCTCCTACAGTAATATCCTTTATGAAACACCCTTAGAAGCAATCAGTTCTCCCCAGCATCAGCACTTCTACTTAAGGGTTAAAATCAATAGGAACTGACTGGCTAGAGTCCATTTTCTAGGCGTTGCTCTGGAAAATGGAAGGGCTAGACTTTGTATCAGTTTAAATCGAGTTAAAGCAGATTGATGCTTAAGGGATTTCCACTGGAACATAAAGTATTAAAGATAGGCACTTATATTATTTCGTTTATTTTTTTCTGATTCGATATGAAGCTGAATTCTAAGAATTCCTGTTGTTTACTATGTTAGCACTCCAACTTAGCCAAGAGAATACTGCGAATGTAATATATTTCTGTGTCTACTTAAAGCCTAGATTTCATTTGGTACTTCTTTATTTGTTTTCTTTGCAAGAACACAGGCATTCATATTTATAACTCTTTTAAATTTTTCAGCATCTCCCAGATGGGTCTGCCCCAAGCGCACATGCTGAATTTTATCTTTTACCAGATCCTGATGAGGTCAATCGAAGGAAAACAAGAACCGTTCCAAAAAGCACTGACCCTACTTACAATGAAATTGTGAGTACTGTCCACTTCCTTCCACCGTTTCTTATCTGTTTGGTTTTCCTTGTCCACTCTTGAAATAAAATAACAGTACAGCATTTAGAGCTGTTATGGTGAGTACTGCCAAACAGAAAATATCATAAGCTGAACCATAAGCGTGTGCAGTCTTCTGCTTTGCTTCTTTCTTAGGAGTGAGACAGTCTAAGTCTCTCTCTCTCTAGCAAAGCAGTTAGATTATTCACACTCTTTGGTCTTATACCATAATTATAGTTACATGTTAGCCATCTGAGCCCAAACATCACTGCACCAAAACCTAGATTGTTTTTCATTCAGATTTGTATAATAACATAAAAAAGTACTAATTGAAAGGATCCTGTTATTCAAATGCGCATAGGAAAATAGAAAACCAAATAGGTTTTCACTGTCCTAAATAATAACATATAATAAGTAACCTAGTTCTTTTTATGTCAAAAATATTAGCAGTTCACAGCCATATATAATTATTTCACTCACCACTGAAGCGTTGCCATCTCTGGGGTAAAACGAAACATTTGTATGGAGAAACATTTACTACAAAATGGGAAGCAACATAAACTGTATTCTTTTGTAGGGGGAGACAAGATTCAAGCAGTAGGTGGGACTGGAGATGATAATTACTACATACAGAAAATCTCCCAAGGATCTCAAAGCAATTTTCAAAAGCACTTTGAGCAAGCTTCAAAGTAGTAGGCATGGAAAATATTACCACTCCACCCTGTTTTATAGATAAGATATGATGAAGTTTAAGCTAGTCATCTGGGTCTCAGAGTCCTTATCTCCCAGTTTCCCAGTCCTGGGGTTTTAATAACGCTTCTTCTTTTCCCACATCTAGTTGATTACAAAAGTTACCTACTTACATTGATGGCTTCCAGTGCAGCTGTAAGTAGGCTCCTCAAGTAGTGTTGTTGCTAACAGCTGAGACAGATTGCACTCCCTATGATACTGCAATGGAATAAAAGTGAACTAGGCTTTATTTTTCTCTTAAATTCTTTTCTTTTTTGGAATCAGAGAGACAGTGGAATAAGGCTAGTTCAACTGGCCAAAAAAGTTTCTTGGGAAATATCATATGTTTGTCTAACAACACTAATTGTAAAAGATTCAAAATGTACCGTGGATAAGAACCACCTAGCAGCACCAGAAAGCAGTTGTCTTTGTGGTTATTGTTATACAGATTTGAATGCAGCAAACGCCAAAATCCTGGCTGCAGTCAGACAGTACTCAATGGGAGAGGATTCAGTTGTGGTTAAGGAAATAGGAGCATCCCTCTGCTCTTAAGAGAAATTTCATGAAAACTTCAATATCTTTTACTCAAAACTCACAGCCTTATTAGCAGATGTTCAAGGGACATATGGTTCTGTTGAACTCTGACATTTCAGACCTGATGCTTGCGCTATTAGCACCTCTCTTCTTCCATATGTGATATCATTCTGTGTGTATTTTCTGTCCAGGGTTGGTAGACTGAGGCAGAAGAAGCCCCAGGGAAGAGAAAACAATTAAAAATACAAGTCAGCTGTCTTTTAAGTTACTTACTGTCCAAAATGCTGTGTACAGAAATGTACTAGCCTTTCTTTATGAGTTCATAAGTTTTTATTAAAGCCAAATGGCTTGAAGGAAACTGTATATTAATTTCTCTCTGTGTTTCAGACTGAGAAAATTATGAAATGTGCCTCTCTTGGGTGTTTTTGTTTTTAGTTTTGTGCTTTTATTGCTTATAACTGCCTACAGCAAATTAGCAACCTTGCAAAAGTGCATTTTATTTTTGTTTTTTACTCCTGGGTGTGAGAGTAAAGATGAGAGGGTCCAGGAGGGCTGACAATAGAATGAACTATACTGAATGTTTTAAAGTTGCTTTTAACAAGCGTTCCTTTTTTCTCTTGTACCTGAATTTGAATTTTGGAGTTTGTTGCATTCACATTGGTATAACGTTGTATTAAAATCGACAATTGAGACGAATAGGAGAAAAAACATGGGAAAAGCAGCTGCAGAGATTAGGAGAAAAATAATAACATACTTGCTTATGGAACATTGAAAGAAATCAATAAGAATCACTCAAGAAGTTCCAGAGTAGGTTAGTAAACTAAGCAAAATTAAAAGCGGAAAATAAATCGGAATGATTTAAGTTTAAACTCTCACCATGAAAAGTGTAAATGAGCAGAAGCAGCCACAGTGGGGTCTTGTTCATAATGTGTAGCTCTGGCCATGCAACATGCTATAAGGTCTTACTTGACCTCAGTTAGTCTCTGAGCGCTTGCGTGTGCGGGAACTCACAGCAGGAGCAAATCTCCAAGACAAAGCGGAGTGTGCATTGCCGTAGTGAAGCCACAGCAAGGGGGGGATTTGCTCCATCCTACCCTTGGGGTGGAGGACAAATGTAGGCAAATACCCCAGGGCCATACAGGCCTAGTACTGCTGCAGTAGCTGCCTTTGGAGGAGAGGGGCTGCAGGCCTGCAACAACTGAAGAGCCCAAGGAAGCCCGACCAAGGGCGAGGAGGGAGCTGTGGCAGGAGCCCAAGGGCTCCCTCTGGCCCCCGTGCGTCAAGGCTAATTTGGACAATTAACAACAAATCTAGGAACTGTGCCATGGCTACATAAGGCAAAGCAACTGTCCCTTATTTACGATGAAAATGTCATTAGAGTCCTGCAGGTCAACAGTGCTGCTTTTTTTTGGAGCCAGGAATATCTAAACTGCAGATCTAGCTGTTCTGCTAATTTACTATATGGCCCTGTGTACCTCACCTCCCTTTAATCTAGCTGTAAAAACGGGAGGCAAATATTATTCCTAAACAATGATTTCAGGATTTAACTGGTCTGGTAGTAAAATTTTGGCAGGTGGTATCAGTTTTATCCACATACTAATTCAGCTATCTGAATTCAGTCTTTCTGCTGTGCCTATATCCTGGTGCAAGGTGCTACACCTTGCTTTGGCTGAATTTGCAATATCATTTTAGAAACATTATATTAGGATCAGTTGAAGCAGCCTACCCTGTACTGCAAAGTGTGTTATTGACCACAGCTTAAAACCACTTTGTGTCCAAAGACTGCAAGTTGCTCATCACCCCAGGTCACTCCTATTGTGATCCACCAGACTGAACATGTCATAGCTCTTGCAGCTTACATGCACACTTCTTTGGTGATTTAAAGCAGCAGCTGAAGGAGGTAACTTTCATATCTGGGCAAAAAACAGGGCACATTCCTACTGTAACATTAATTTCACTGCAGTAATCAAATCATAGATCTAATCTAAATTATATAGCCACTTATTGTACCTCTCCTTGCTTTTCTGATTTTCTTCACCATTTCACTTTGACTTTGGCAGGGAGATGCCAGCAGGGGGGGGTCAGGAAAGCTATAATTTTTTTATTCATATACAATTTGGTGAAACAGACACAGTGAACATTGCAAGTGAAATTGTGAATGCCTGTTCTGAGGTATAAGAGAAGGGTGGAGAACACAAGGTGTGACTTTGCTAACAGCTGTTTCCAAAAGTTTCTAAATGGGTGAGAAAACCCTGCTCCCTAGTATGACCTTTTGAGTGCAAGCCGGTTCAAAAACAGGGAGGGGTACCCCTGTTGAGTATGCTCCATCTGAATGTCTCCCTCCTAAAATCAACAGTGTTATCACAGTTTGTGGTGGACTTCATGGAGGATCTGGTATTTTTCTTCACATTTGAGTTCATAATTCTGCTTAAGTTAGAGTTTCAGTTTTCCCAGGGAAAATTATGTATATCCATTTTTTTCTCAAGCTTTGCAAACACGGATTTTGAATTTGTTTACAAGCGCTCAGTAATCAGCCTAAGCAGGCGGAAGCTCTTATATTTAAACTACATTAAGTCAAATATATTTCTGAGGTAAATGCACTAATCAGAGTGAATTTGGCTCACAGGTAGTAGTTTACAGTTCTGGAGGGCAGCTTAAAGCAGTTATTGGAAAGTTGTAATAACCATCCTGAATGCTGTATCAACGTAAATGTTTTGCCTATCAAATAGATTCACATATTTAAATTTTTTTTTCTGTTTCACTGTATATAATTGCAGGTTGCATATGACAGAGTCACAGAGCTCAAAGGACGTATACTGAAGCTTGTTGTGAAAAGCAAAGGAACATTTGTGGGAGCTGTTAACATTCAACTGAGCAGTGTCCGGTTAAATGAAGAAAAGTGGTATCCACTGGGAAACAGTATAATTTAAATATTGTCTAAGATAATTCAATTATTTATCCACTAATGTTTCTTTATCCCATTTCCCATGGTAGGTTTTGTCTCAGTTGCTCTTGAGAATATGCAGTTATCCGCTGATCACATGCCTTAACATTTCTAATCATAAGGCTATTTTTTTTAAATTTCTGCCATCTTCATACAACATGTTCCTGTTAGTGTGGGTAAGAAATCACATGCTAAGAACTTGCAGCAGCATGCAGGAAAGTCTTATAGCAGTAATAAAGTATTTTTGTTTTATTTTTATTAAATACTACTGTAAAAATACTGATATTCTGTACATATCAAACCATAGGTCAAAGCCTAATTCTGAGCCCATATGAGTCAGTGACGATCTCTCCACTGACTGTTTCAAAACAATGCTGATACTGGTGTAATTTATCAGGGTTCACTGTGACCCACTCACTGCGTATGGTGATTCACCAGAGGTCCTGGGGATGGTTCCCTGGGTACCAATACATTTCAAACATCTAACATATTTCATATTAAATGTTACAGAATCAATGCATTAAAAAAAAAAAAAACCTTTAAAAGTTGCACTTCAGGTATTTTGTGCAGTATATGTTGGTGTACTTTTAACTGTTAATATAATGTAACTTTCAATCCAGGATATTCATTTGGCAGTAAGATACTTCATCATTTCTTTTATTCTGACATCCAAGAAGCAGATATAAATGGTCATTTGTGAGGAGGAGGAGGGAGAGGTTAATATTGATGAATAAATAAAACATTGAATGTAAAGTTTCAGCATAGCATTTATTTAAGATCACGCTGCAGGAAATCTTTGTTCACTAGCCTTACTCCATTGCATACTTATGCTGCATAAGAGAAACCAGTCAATACATACATGGAGAGCTATATATATATGTGAACATGAGTGGTACCTTTGAGTTCACTGGAACTAATTATGGGCTCTGTTCTTCAAAGCATTTTTACATAAACCAAGGAACCATTTGCCCACATCTTTAAGCACTTAGCATGGAAACAGCAGTAATGAACTGTACATTAATGCCAGCCTCTTACACACACACAGTTGAGCGCGTATATAAAGCTTTCCAGAATCAAGGGCACGTTTTTAATGCACAGGAGCCACTTTCATTTGTGATCTGGTCTGATCTGTAAAAGTTTAAGTTACCATATAGTGAGTAGGTCTGACGTTTGTCCTGCTAGGTGGAAAAGCAGTCAACAGAGGGATAATAATGCCAAAGGCTAAAGATAATTGCCTTGTTCCCCCTAAGGAGACTCACAAATCAGACTTTGGAAGGTAACACATACAGTTCCTGAACTGGCACTAGGAGTGCAGTTTAGGAATCCAAATAAGCTGGAGTTTTTCTTCAGCACCAAACCAGTTGCCTATGTCACTTGGGCAGCTTGTCTCCCAGAACGGATCCACCAGATTGCCTGCAGAGTTTAAATACCTCCTCAGTAAGAGGAGATAAGAGGAGGTGGGGGGAAACTCTCCTTGCGTATTATTATTATTAGGATTTTTCATTGCTGAAAAAAGCTATAAAATATTTACCACATGAAAAGGATACTGGCTAGCATTCAGATATAATCAGTGCAAAGATCAATAAGTCTAACATTTTAGATTACAGGCTTTCCTGGGTAAAGAAACAAGTGACTTGCCACTCAAGCACAGAAAACATTGTGCCCAGCTTACAATGTTATCAAATTACCTGACCTTACAGTTCAATATTGATTTCAGATTCTTCTTAGACTACTGTCTTGGTTTCTTATTATAACTTTAATGCAATTTCCTAATAGTGTTATTTCCTGTGACATTTTCTAATCATTGTTTACAGCATGCCCTAATTTTCCATCTTAGAGCAACACAGATGTTTTTTTATGAAGGATGTGTGACTAAAAATAGCATTAAAACATAATATTATCAGAACGGTCTGAAAACATAGGCAGTACTGTTTGGTATTAAAGGAACTCATAAATGTAGTCCTTTGGAAAAAAATCTGTGTGTGAGTAACACATCTGCAGTTAGCTGTGTGGATACAGTCCTGTGGAAGCTCAACAATTCTTCAGTTTTGTAAGGAAAATGGGAAAATTCTGTCTTATGGGCAAGATCTACACTGATAGTTATGTCAGGCACGAAGTTGCTCTCAGAGAACTTAAATCACACAATCAACCCTTGGGTTTTCTACACTGGTTCTTCTAGTCCACCTCAAAGCTGCCCATTGTTTTCCTGTTTCCTGAGTTCACAGGAAGATGTATCCTAAGCTCCCTGCTGCTATGACGAACAGAGCCCTATATAAATCAGTCCATGTATTATTTGTCTATATCTTTAACAGTAGGAGGTTCAAGACTAGGCTGAGAAAAGGTACCAATATTAGCATCTGAGTTTTTATCATTTTAAGAGCCGTTTTTCTGAAGACTATTTTTTCAAAGGTAGCAAAATGACAGCGGAAATTTAATGAGTTATCTTATCTCCCAATCAGAAGCTGCCGTTATTATGAATTTAAAGGGTAAATTGTATGTGTCATTTTTCCCATTTCCTTGAAAAGACTGATTGTACAATAGTTAAAGCTTTTGCTCAGTAAAAATAAAAAATTCACTGTAACATGCTCATAATTTTTGAAGTCTGAGATCATAAATATTAAACCATTATTCTCATTCAGTAATTAATCATAATTTTGCAATTAGCTGCAAATAAAATTATTAATTGAATTCCACAAAGTGTCCTAAAAAAGTTCAATCCTTCTGAATTATTTCTAAATTACAGCAGGGCCCAGTTCTGTTGCCATTACTTATTTAGGATGCCATTTACTCACACAAGAAGTCCCATTATCTTAATAAAATCATTGAGAACATGCCACTCTGGAAATCAGACCACTGGATTGTTGCAAGCCTTGTGATGTCTGCTTTATTGAGCAGGGTGCGGTGCTTCAAAACTACTGCTACGGCGGAGCCTCCTTAATGGTACCAGACGTAAACAAACAGTGATGCAGGTTCAAGATTGTCACCAGCTTTGGAAAACAGAGGAATGTTACGGTAACCTGTAAATACAATGACACTTGATTAGTGTATTAACCACAAATCCAAAGCTTATGATGGAGTTATTTTATGAAACAGAACTTGCATAATCTACTGTGCAAATGAAGCATAATGTATGATTCTCTAAATAACTTAAAAATAAACTGAAATCATAGAGAGCCCAAAACCCATATCAGCTGGTTTTCTCTTCTACATGTACAATAAATTCAATTCGGACATTTTTGGACAGAAAAACGCTTGTTAAAACCTCTCAGTGTCTTTTAGGATGTTATTGGTTCTCTGACTGAAGACTTCTATCCCAGTGATATCTAAAGATTAGGGAAGTGTGCATTTTAACGTCCAGAAAACTGTGCTGCACACACTGTTCTTATAGCACCTCCACGTAAATAACTTGTGAATCAACAGTGATACGGTTTCTGGGAAAATAACCATTCTGCCCTTTTTTTCCCCCTTATTCTGGAAAAAAACATTTGGTGTTGCAACGGTAATGCACTATCCAGCTGAGGCAGAAAAGTAGTGTAGCATGAGATCATCTCGTAGCCATGACCTCTTAAGCCTGTTAAAGATCTCCTTTTATATGCCAGAGTGTTTCTCAGTATCAGAGGTATGGCATGATTCGGAAATTATAAATGCATGTGGAGACCTGAAGCATTTGGAGAAGCCGTATTTCTAAACTTCAAACTTAATTAACTTACCTGCTCTGAAAACCAAATAGAATAAACATCCCCCCCACCAAACCCAAAACCTTTATTCCTTTATATAATTGTAAAATGCCCATATTTCATAATAATAAAGTGTCAAAATTTTGATATTTTCTGTATTTTATCTATGCATATATAACTGCAGATATTTAAGTAAGTATTATTAGTAAGTATCTGTGTTCATAACTGCAGTTTTCAAAAGCCTTCTTTAAATGTGCTTAACATAGGTCTGCATGCAATCTGGGGGAGCGTCATTTGGGTTTGGATTTTCTTGATTTTTTTTGTCCAACATGAAAATCCACCTGGCACCTAAGGTTCAGCTGCTGGGCAGCAGAAAATAAAGCTGAGCAAATTAGCACCTTGTTCATCCACAAGAGACTCAAGTGCCTTTGCTTTCCTCAGCTTATAGGTTTAGTCTAGTGGCCTTAGTCTGAGCACACCAGACAAATCAGGTTCCAAACAAAAAATTGGCAGCAGTCATCTTTTCTGTCAAGTTACAGTGCAGGAGGTAACATGCTTTTGAGATCAATTTTAGAGCATTCACCCAGTATGTAGAAGACTTGATTTATTTCCTATCCAGGGACTCACTCCAAGGACTATGACTCATTTCCAAGGATTGTGTTCTAGTTATACCCCTAGCTATAGGATAGTCTACAAAGTGTCATGAGAGAAGTAAAACTTCTTCTTTTCTATTGATATTGTTCCAATTTCTATGAAATAATTAACTATTCATTGACCCAGTGATGATAGCATGGTTGTGGGACATGGGATGTTTGAATTCTTATTCTGTTATTTAAGGAGTATACATAATAAAGTCATAGAGACAGGGACTATAACACAGGACCCCCTTCTCTAGTCTTCAACCTCTCAGCTAGAGAATTATTCTCATTTTCAGCCCCACTTTCAATATATCTGCTTAATCATTGCATGAAAAATTACATGCTTCTACAGGTGGGCAGCAAGCACCCTTCCCCAGGGTAATCTACAGCTGAGCGGTGGGGAGACTGCTGGGGCAGGGAGGAAAGTGATGATATGAATTTGAATCCTTTCAGCAGAGAGTGCAGGGGAGGGTGGCAATGGCACAACTTTGTGCTGCTGCCTGTTCAAAAAAAAAAATAAAACAAGAAAAAGAAAAAAAGAAAAAGGTGTAGGCATTGCCTGCTCAGCTTTTGGAAGGATGAGCTTAAGCAACCAGCCCTCAGGGGAAACCTCAGGGATATGAATCCTGGGGAAGGAAGGGCAGACCTGTAGTGCCGAATAAAGCATCAGAGCCTTGAAGAGGAGTAGGATTTAAACCATAACTCACTCCTTCATATTGTGGCTTAGACAGTTCTCTTCTCAGAAATACAGACCATTGTGAATCCCCTTGTAAGACACATTATATTCCCCTCTCACTATTTTGGGAGCATAGGTACGTAAGGCAAAATTGTGGTTCCAGCCTTGGAATCCAGAGGTCTCAATGTTAAGTATCACAATGAATTCTGAAATTAGCTATCAGCTTGTTTCCTAACAGCATTTCATTTATGCCTCTGGGTAGCTTAATGACATTTACATTTTTTCTATGTATTAAGGGGGCGGGCAATTTGTTTGGCACTGTTTAAGGTTATTGCATCCACACTCATGTCTTAATGTTTTAAAATTACTCCACTCAAAATCCATAATGTAGAATCTGCATTCTCTTACATTTCCCAAATGTAAATTCATCATTTGTGACCCGAATTAAACTGTGTAGGCACACTGGAGACTCACTGAAAAAATCTGCAAATAAATTTGCCCAAATTGATGGTTTTGCAATCATATTTAAGCTGTAATGTCTGCTATTTAAAGTTATCTCCGCTATCAGGGTTTTTTGTTTTCATGAAACATGCAAATAAAAGGAAAATAGAGGGTAATCAGTGTAAAGATTTATGTTGGAGAAAGGCAAGTGTGCGTTAAGAGTAAATGTCTTTTATTCTTGTGTAACTCCTCTGCTTCTAGAAAGAATCACAAACAAACAGCTTTATGTTTTCAGAACCTGGAAGGAAAAAGCTATTAAAAATCCTGTGGAGCTTAATAAAAAAAGGCACAGTGCCCATTGCCAGCTCTGACTTTTTGCTTTCACATCCTTATTCACTAATAAAAGTTGATTCTGTTTGTTTTGTCAGAAATAGCTTTGGAAATTCAATATAGTAAACAGCCATTTTACATAAGCCTTTCTCCTTGGCCTACTGACTTCTCTGTCTGCTCTTTATTGCACAGCCTATTAGTCTGTAAGAGTCCAGGAGCTATACCGGTGCAATAAAAGAAATAGTAAAATAATAAAACTGTAAATATTTTGCTTAATTTATTTTCTTCTTTCTCGGATCTGAAAAGTTGCAGATGGACAATATGAGGGGTTTGTGGCTTTTTGCTTTTTTGGGGGGTGTTTGTATTGTTTTTTGGGTCTGACTGACTAGCAAGCGCACAAAACTGTTACCTTTATAGTACTTTTGGCTAATTGCTGTTCTTGCTTCCTATTGGAACAAGCTAAAATGCTTGTCTGATCTGTTTCTACTCAGAACGTGAGTGCAGGAATACTGCAGTACGAATTATTAACAGTCATTAATATTCTTTTGATTTCTATACTGTGGATTTGCATTCAGAGACTACAATGACTTAAAAATACAAAGAGTGCAATATTTACCTATTGTTATGCATAATGCAAAGCTTCTTGTGGGAAATGAACGTAATGCTGTACTCCATCAATACTGCAGTAAGGATAAAAGCCTGTGTGGCTGTAGATTATTTTATGCTATTATATGCAGTTCACTTACTTATAAGAATATTACCTTTGCTCAGGCTCAGCAGTGGTAAAGTGTATTGACCAAGGAATTCGTTTGCAGCTAGAGATACCTGATCTTGCACATTGAAGCGTATCAATGCCAGCTCTGGAACTCGGACAGTAAACGTAAAACTTTCGTTCCATCTGGGACTCAAAGCTGATGGAAAGAGAAAATAAGTAATATCAAAATAACATTTCATGCCTTTTGTTTAATATCGGAACTGCATTTGCTATCACTAGTCTGAAATGGCAGAGAGACTTTCTTTTCCCCTAGGTTTCTGTGCCTACTAAAATAAATGGTGAAACTCCCACTGATTGGAGTGGTATAGATCAAATCTATTGTATAGATTATGGAGTAAAAACAGTCAAAGAGAAGCTTTCAGACTGAAGCCAACATAGGCAGCTTGGGACATGCCTACAGTATGCATGTCAGCCCCTTCTAAGGATTTGCCATGTATTAACTATATAGTAGTATAAATCAAAAGCCTAGGAAACTTGGTGTCATCTCTTTGAAGAGAGCAAAATGGGACAGTGACAGAATTCAGAATCAGAATCTCTGCTCAGCTGAACCCATTTCATGTTTTTACCAAAGTTTCTCTTTTTGCACCGTTTGAAATGAGGTAGGAGCTAAATAAATTAAGATAGAAAAGAGATAACTTGACTAAAAGAAAAAATAAGAAGAGGAGTTGGAACCGGAGGGGGCATTTTGTCTTGAAAAATGTTCATGCAGAGAGAAACAGGAATTCAAGAGCCAATTTAAAACTTCAGCCATCTACAAAAAGGAGAAGAGAAAAATAGAAGACAGAGGCACAGAAGGGAGATGACAGAGAACCTCTAGGCTGAGACATCAAGGAGGTCTACATGATAAAGGTAAGAGGGAGCTTGAAGACAAATACAAAGAGCACGCACTTCATCTCTCAAGCAATTAGGGGATAGGTCTTACTAGAAACTTCATATAAGAGCTAAATGGAGAAGTCACAGAAATTTCTTCTCAAAAATTCCTTTATCTATTTATTGGTGAGTAAAGACAGTGCATCCGCTCTTTTTTTTTATGCTTCCTTAACCTCCTGTTCTACAAAAATGGCACATAGCATGAAATTCTGCTACAGATTTTGTGTCAGCAGGCCCTAGTCTAGAGAGAAGTAATTGCAGCCTCCACAAATACATAACAGCTTTTTGGGAAGGAAAAATATCTATTCCATATGAAAATTGTTGTCTTTTGTTCACAGTTAAAAGGATAAGACTGATGCTCACCATTGCTTTTTACAACACTAGATTGTCTTTTTGTTTGATCATCTGGCACACCATAAATTTCTATCTGCACTAAAGGGTCAGCTTTGTTAGTCTTCGACAGGTTACTGCGTGGTAACTGATGACCACTGATGAGCTGGAAAATGAAAGTTGTAATGTAT